TAAGGGATTTAGACTTCTAATTCTTTTTAAAAAGAAAAGGATCTGGGTGTTCAGATACCCTTGGCAGCTTGAAAAATCTCAGCCTGAACACTGGTGAGAAGATGCTTCTTTGCCAGAGTAAGGACTGAATTTCAAGCCATTCCCTAGTGGGCAGTTTGTTTTTAGAAGGCCCTTAAACAGTGGTCATGATTCAGGCTTGTAACCTTATTTATCCACTACTAACTACTCCCTCAAACCAGCACAGTCTCTCCTCAGCTTCTCTCCTGAAAAAAATCTTACCAGCTCTCTCCAGTCTCCCATCTCCAGTAAAAATGTAGTGCTTGGAAAATAAACTCCTTATTTTACATTATGCATTTCACACTTCTTGGTTTTTTTTCAATCCTTGTCTGCCCTTTCTAAGTTAAAAAAAAAAGAAGATAAAAGAGAGAGAGAGAGTCCTTGATTCATGGGACATTGCTTTACACAGGATGGGCACGGTCAACCAAGTTAGGTTGTTAAACTGGCAGAAAGCTCCTGAAGTGTTGCTGACTGTTAATGATGTCTCTGGCCTGTTGACTCCAGGAAGGACATACTAACAGAAACAAGAGCTGAGAGCAGGGAGCTATAACAGGTAACATCTTGGAGGAAAACCAAAGGAACAGCCAAGCTCAAGGAAATACATCAATATTGAGCTCAATGCTGTGTTTGGGAGTTTGGGCTCCCATTTAAGCCAAACCCCAAAAGTGAGGTGCAGTCTGAGGACTTGCTCAGTCTGTCTGCTTGACTGAGGGAAGACCTCAGCCTTCTCAGGGTACCTCAGTCTCTCTCATCAAGTTTAGATAGGCAAAACTGCTCTTGACCTCAGTACCTGAACAGTCTTGCAAATGTATTGCACTGAGAATCATGGGTCTAATGAAGACTCTTTTGGCAGCTCTGCATTTATGGCTTTCCTTTTAGCTCTGAAAACTAAGTCAACTTGCTATCTCCCTTCTGTAATCTAATTTCAGTACATTTGGGAATGCAGGTTTTTTATCCTGCTGTGCCATTCTTTGCCTTGTTGGAGCCTGTATTTAACTGATGTACCTTTTCAGAAATATCAGCAGCATCAGAGCCTTGACCTGTTTGTGCTGAAATAAGTCTGTCCATCTATTGCTGTATACTGCTTTGCCTCTTTACAGGTTCTAATTCTGGTCTCCTCGTTCCTTGCCAAGCGTGGGAAATGATCTGTCTTCTGAAACCTTCTTTAGTGCCTTGTAAGTTTCAAAATTCAACACAGAATACTTTTCTTGGCTTCAAAGCTCCTTTACTGTATTGTGCCAGCCTCTCTTCTGTCTCTCATTATAGTTTATTCTGTTTTTCTTCCCCTTACCTCTGCACATATACCAGACTGCTTCACCCTCACCTTTTGGGTACTTGTAATGTGGGTGGTAGATTCTTCTCCTGTGCTACTCTAAAACACACCCTCAGTGCAGTGAATTAGCTCTGACATTTCCCAGATTCCATCTCCATGTTCGGTTTCATCTTGCTTTATCCAGCAGCCAACCTGTATGGTTACCTATAATTTGGGTAACAAGCTATATATCGGTTCTCAGCTCTCTGTTAAAATGATTGACTACCTTTTGATAAACAACAAAGGTATGCTACATCTACACATATTTATGTAATAAATCAAACAGTATAACTGTTTATTTTAATCCTTAATTTTTACATTCATTATATTAGAAACTAAATGACATGTTTGAGTTGAGCTGCCAGGAACATTTTAAAATGCCTTGTTAGTGGTTAATTAAAATTATCTTAATTTTGCTGGATGTATGAAGAAAAAGTTTATGAACATAAGTTGTTGTTGTATTTTAAGCTGATATAAGGAAAAGAAATACTATATTTAATGAATTGGCTTATGATGACTAAAAAGATGCAGGCAGATGTCAGGTGGAGTTTTCAAGAGTCCAAGTAGGTCAGAAGGGAAGGCATGAGGAAGTCTCACTGTGTCATATGACTTGAATAATGGCTACAGTTTTAGCACCTGTATATGCATACAGACCATTTAGCTTTAGATATCTGAAGTCTTAGCAAATATTTATTATGCATAAGATACATAAAAAAGGTACCACATTCATCACCAAGAACAAATAAATAACCATAAAAGTAGTTTAATCTAGCCACTTTGAAAGCACCAAGTATGTCTAATGTGGACCTTATCTACAAGGGGTAGAATGAAATCAAGAATCTGCTGAAAATCAATATCAAAGCTTCCACTGAAGAGCTAGGATTTTACTCATAATATGTTTTGAGTAGGGTTTTTTTCTGCTTCTGTTAAAAACAAGCAATAAGAAAGACTCTTGATAGTCTTTGCCAAATCTCCAAGAACAGTTTTCACAATTGCATTACTCATCTGTGTTTTTTGGTATGCAAAAATGGTGAGTAATTTGACCAAATCTCAATTTGTACTCTTCTCAGGCCATAGATAGTAACTAATGAGCTTCCTTGTTGTTTGTAAAGTACCATTATTTTGCAGGAGTTATCCTTCCAATCTCTGTTTCCTTGCTACTTCATTAGGCATGCTAACAAGCATTTCCTTTACCTACAAGTAAATCAGTCAGTTGCTTTTATTTAAAAACACGTAAGGAATGGAATTGGGGCTTTCCAGAGCATGGGCTGGTCTCGTTTGAGCCAAAGCTTATGACTGTAGCTCTTTCTTGTCTTGGTCAGCTATGGAGGGAGATGCATTCACCAGGGAGTAACCATAAACATGCTGTTTGTGTTGTCTTGCTGCATTATGCTAGTGTGCACTGGGCCACAACTGATTGATTTGGCCTATAGACATGTATGCTAACTGTTTGAGTATAGTGAGTTCCTGCTGGATGTATGTGCATTCCAAGAAAGATAAGTCATTGAAGTTTTATATCTTCAAAGGTAATTACAAATATATACTTGTTACAAGAGGTCGCTTATTAACCCTTCTCCCCACCCACCCCCAAAATACTTTGTTCTGCTTCATAAAGTTGGGGAGGAATGAAAAAGAGATGGAAAAATCTACATTTGCTATCCCTTATGTCCAGTTCAGAGGTACCTAACTTTCTTTCCAATCTTCCCATACAGATTTTTTAAAAATATAGAGTCAAGTTATATTAATACAGTTTAAGTTAGGTAACTGGGCCAGCAGAAGGAACATTTTAGGGTTTTATTATTTTAAGATTTTATCAATGCATTTGTCCCACTGCAGTGACTCACCATGTTCACTTTCCTTATAAGGAAATGGCTGTTTCCAGATTTACAGTTACTTATTCCCCACATTGAAAGAGAAATAGAGTTTGTTGACAGCTGAAAAACTGGAGATATAAGAGGAAAAAAAAAACTTTACTAAGGAGCAATGAAGAAAATGTTATAGCACCTACTATCTTCTGATAAATTTTAGAGTGTATCATGGCAACTAGTTTTGAAATGCAAATCTCAAACAAACTATTTAATTATTTTATTTTATTAACTATTTTATTTTTATTTTTTTGTTTTATTTCTCTCATCATATTCTTGTCAGTAGTGGTTCTTCCACTGCTGTATGAACTGTATAAAAGAAAGAGTACTTAAATTTTGGTTCCACATATGATCTCTGTAAAACAGAAACTAATTGAAGTCTGAACCTCTTCACATTCAGTATGTGTGTTTTGGCTAGGAACAGAAATCACACACAAACTGGTATAAGTGATTGGAAACCAGTTCAAATCTTGTAGCATAACAGAAGTTCAGTGCCCGTAAACCACTTTCAAAATGGCCGAAACAGGTTTAAGATAAACCTGGATGGATGTAGTATCAGACTTAACTGATTTAGTTTAAAACAGTTTATTTAATTTCTGTCCAGAATCTCTCCAGATTCAAGTTAACTCACAGTTCCCTGGCTTCCTAGGATGCTAGGATTTCCTGTCCCCATCACCAACACCCCCTCACAGAGTGGATGGGCTACCAAACTGTCCGCTCCAGCCGAGTAGGGAGGTATGCTCTAGTGCCCCCCCACCCCAACACACCTTTTGGCTTGGGCCACTGCAGGCACATGGCTGCATTTCCGGAATTAAAAGTGTGTGTCTGTTCATTTGCTTTTCAGTTTAATCTACTCAGCTTAGACTAACCTGTGAAGATTGAATTGATTCAACCTCAGGTCCTTTGATTGTTTGTACCAAGCCTTTGTGTTCATTTCCACGTGGCATCTTCCTGTATATTAGAAACTGGTCAAAACATTCTGGGAAAGAAAGGGAAATAACCTCAATTTGTCCATCAGTTAATTGCAATCTTTATTTTATTATAAAAATTGAGTTTTGTTTCTTAAAACTTGCTGCAGTAAATTCCTATTCAGATAAAAAGACTGGTTTATGGAACTCTGAGCTCTAGTGACAGCTGTTTAAAATGCATTTCTGATGCCTTAAATACTGAGGGACCTACCTAATTTTGGGGAGCTGCCCCCCAAGCTTCCTGGGCAGAATGCAGGCCTGGGCAGCCATTATTTGGGTGGAGTATGGCAGGCCCCACCCCACCCTTCTGATTGGTCACAGGGCCCTGGTGGCCCCTCCCCTCACCTGACTGGCTGTGGGGGCTGCTTATCATGTGGCCACACCCCCTCACCACTGACTGGTGGTGAGGGCTTTCTGCCATGTGGTTCTGCCCCATGTCACTGGTTGTAACGGCTATCTGTCATGCAGCCCTGCCTCTCACTGCCGATTGGTGGAGGGGCATGGGGCCACGTGACAGATAGCCCTTGTAGCCAGTCAGTGGCGAGGGGTAGGGACAGCGGCCATCTTGTTGGCAGCCCTTCAAGTAGGCAGCCCAGCCTGCCTTCTCCTCCTTCCCCACCCAGGCAAGCTGCTGTAGCCCATAATAAGGTTTTTTCCACCATGGATTTCACAGTTTCTGTGGATTTTGTGGGCATTGCCCAGAATGATTTTGCAGAATCTGCAAAATGGCGAATTTGGCAGTTCCCTATAAATACTTTAAGCTTACTAAAATTTCTAAAATAATTTCACTTTCAGGATTGCACGAAGAAATATATTGTGAAGAATTACTTCTACTACTACCTCTTCAGGTTTTCAGCTGCTTTGGGTGAAGAAATTTTTTATATCACTTTCCTTCCATTTACCTGCTGGAATATCAATCACTGTGTGTCTAGGAGGATGATAATTGTTTGGTCTGTAAGTATTGCAATGATTATTAAAATGTATATTAATTTCTTTACCATATTTATTATTTTTAATATCTGATGTCTTATAAAAAACCTAAAGTGAGATTAATTTTACTTCCAGAAGTACAAATATAATTTTCAGACTAATTTTAAATAAAAAGCAGGACCAGGGAGCTGCTTTTACACTGTTTCTGATGCACATACTCAGTCTTGTACTATTTCTTCCTTTTGGGGAAGTATTCTTGACCTTGCAACCGGAAAGAGAAATGAACCTAAATTTAAAAAATATTTTTTCTTCATCCTACCTGCCACTCCTCATGTCATCCAGTCTGGAAATGGAGCTCAAGTTTTAAACAGTGTCTGTAAAATTGGTTTGGGGAGTTCAGCACTTTATATTCTCCCAGTAACTGTGGATCAAATGTACTCGGTGTATAAGGAAAGAAATGTTAATGGGAAGAATGATGATGATAATTTCAAACTGCTTTTGCAGCAAGCTAAATTTGGGATCTGAGAGTTGAGCTGGGTCCTTGCCTTCTTGTGCTTATTGACCAATGGTGAAAACTCTTTAAGCCAAACACAGTGTTTCAGGATACCCAGGCAGTTATGTTGCTGTTTTTCCATAGGTGTAACTGACTGGTATTCACTGAAACCTGGTGAACAATTCTGCTGACAATTGAAGGATACTGGACTCCAGTTCATACTGTTGACTCTGCAGGGTTACCAAAAATAAATACGAGTAAAATAATAATTTAGTCACTTTAGTCATTTAACTTGGATTTAATTCTCAATGCAGGCAGGGAGATTGAGAATTGAGTAAGAAAAAAATAAAAAGGTCTTTTCTGGGAATTGAACAGCGCTCTATAATGTTATGGTGACCCTGTACTTGACTGTAGAGCTGACTTGTGTATGTGTATAGCAGTGACCTCTGCTGGATCATGGTAGACATGTACAATTTTCCTTATTAAGACAGAAATATGGAGAAGCTATTCTCAGAAACATATTCAGGCTTATTTCTAACTGATGTTAATGGTTAGGCATTCAAGGGCATGTCAAATATTTAGATGTGGTCATGAAGCAAAGGCATTGTGGGCACCTATACATGAGCAGCGAGGCTGCTTCTTGCTGCTGATTGGCTAAGAGGGCTGCCCATGGTGTGGTCCCACCCCTCGCTGCTCATGAGGCCACGAGGCCAGGCCCCAGTGGCCCTGAGGACCTCTAGCATCTATTGGGGAGGCAATATTTTTAGTAAGTTGTTTTTTTTTTCCTGGTGATTCTGTGCCAAAATCATGGGGATCGCCATTTTTGCGGGGTTTGCAGAAACCACTTTTTCTCTATTTCCATGAAAAACACAAAATCACAAATAGGGTAGATACATATTTCTAACTTGGAAGGATTTTAGCATTGGTGAAAACTTGTCTAGCGTATTTGTGAACTAAGATTAAGAGTTCTCTGAGACTTAGTAAGTAATTACTGGCTAACATTATTCTTTAAGAAAAGGTGTGTAAATATCTGAAATAATTTGTTGTATGTAGAACATCTACAAAAATGAAGCCAATTGTGAAGTAAAGGGCAAAAGCCATTCTGTGCCAATAGTTCTAAGCAATACATTATATAAAGAAAAGCTGAAAAATAAATTCTATAATTAAAACTAGGAGTAGGTGGACACTGTATAATTAGAGTTGGGCTTTGGCCATGAATACTCCTACTCTTTTTGGGAAAGTGCCACAGAAGCTTGTAATTACATGGCAGTGCCTCCTGCTTTGCATATCACTCAAAAGATGGTACTTCTGGCATCACAGTACCCTTTAATTCCACATATCAGCATGGTTTGATATTGATTCAGAGGGAGGTGTGATGCCTACAGAATTGCTAACATCTCTTCCCAAAGGACCTGTTTTCCCTTAGACATGTTCCATCCAAGTATTGACCAGACCTAATCCCATTTAATTCAAGAGACTGTTCAAAGATATAGCATTATGTTTATTTCTCACTGGTAAGCAATATACAGAGTGGCATAGATAATGGAAACAGAAAAGGAGCCTACCTGATGAATAATATATATATAAAAAAGTGAAAATCCTTATTTTAAAATGTTCATTTATATATATGTGTAGACGGACCAAAACATTCTCTGAATGCTAACATTTTTATTTGGAAATTCAACTGGATGGCATAATGTGCTGACATTCAGCTTTTGAGCAATGAGGAGAATTTTGTTGTATTATATGTGGCCTTACAAACTTGCCTGGGAGGTCCTTATATACTCTCCAGCAGCAAAAAAATAGTCTTGTCACAAGAAAAAACTCTTACAGATCTTGAGAAGCAAACTGCAGAATTGTGTATCATGTGATTCACTTTGTCCACTTGTTTGTTCCTTAGCTATAAAAGGTTCTTGTGCTGTCAAAGTGAAGCACTTCAAGTTTTGAAAGTCAGGCCTGTGGCAGACATGCAAGTAAAAGCACCACAGGATCGGATGTGCGGTCTCCACAGCCATTCTTCCTGATGCGCCAGCCAAGTTGTAAGCTCCCATGGCTGGGAGCCCTGTCAGCTGCTCTGGGCTGGGATCCTGAGGCTGGGAGCTGTCAGCTGACAGGGCTTCCACCAGTAGGGGTGCACCAGGCCTGGCCACATATTCAATTAGTGGTGTGATAGGAACCAGCTACAAAGTTATTACACCATTAATTGTGTTTTATTGCACCATTAATTGTATTAACATGTGGCCAGGTAACAATTTAGGATGTGATTAACTGCCTAATCGTGTTTTAAATGTAGTGTGAGCCAGGGACCTAAAACATGTACTACACACTAATGAAAATTCCAGCCTGTTGGCTAGTTAAGTGCAAAACAGCACCATTTCGTTTCAACTTCATTTCACCATTTCGACAAGATAGTGTTTCATTTTGAGTTTTGTTTCGAAAGCATTATCCTGTTTTGTTTCATCAAAACTGTTTTGCTGTTTCAGCGGTGTTTCGACATTTCGCCTGTAGGCTATAATGGGGAAGCACAAAACTGCCTATAGCTTTGTCATTTTTTGGCAGCTTGGGATGAGAACAGCAGGGATGATATCAGGTGATGACAACAGGTAAAATAATAACTTAGTGAGCAGTAGCACCAGCAGCATCTCAGCCAGCCAAACTGCCACAGAACCTTTCTTTCCTCTCCTGTAGGAGCTTCTTCTCCAGCGTGTGTGTTAAGGTGTGCCCTCACTGCGTCCTTCCCCCTTCTTCTCCCTCCCTCTCCTTACTTTCTGTTTCCCTGCAGGCAAGGCCAGCTTCAGCTTCAAAACTCAAAATGTTTTGAAACTTTTTAAATGTTTTGAGTGCCCTCATTTCATTTCGAGGCTGTTTCGAAGCCCTTCGTTTTGTTTCAATTTCATTGTTTCGAGCTCAAAATGAGCCAAAACAGAGTAGAAACAAAACAGCCGGTAAAATTTCGCACAGCCCTAGTTAAGATTACCACTCCTTTGTATCTCATTAGGTTCCACTCCTGTGTATCTCTTACTTGCTAGTTAAGATTATCACCTCTTTGTACCTGCTTAGTGACTTAGTACCTTCAAGCCTTTCACAACTTTGCCTGTTACAAAGTTTGGACCAAACCAATTCAATTTTCCTGAAAATGCACTCAACTGCGGTGAGCTGCTGGGCAGAAGTGTGGACCAAAGAAAGAAAAATTTATTCTAGTTAAAGGAAAATATTGGCACCAGAATAAATGGGGATAAACTGGCCATAAAGAAATTGAGGCTGGAAATTGATAGACACTACTTGAACTAGTGAGATTTTTGGGAACAGCTTTCCCAAATGTGTATTGGGAACTCAAAACCAAGCAAGTTCCAAGAGAGAGTTTGTTTTATTTATGAAAGTAGTTTAAGTAATGTGGTTGCCTGCCACAGTGATGGACTGGATTTGATGATGCAGGACATCCCTTTCTGTCTTATGTTCCTAAATCAGGGAGCTAACAGTTTTCTCTTCAGTTGATGGCTGCCAGAAAGAGAGGAAGCAGCCCTTGCCAGGCTTGTCCCCAAGGCCAGACACCGGTTAGGGCAACGGCTCAGGCAAATGGGGGGAAGGTGGGATTAAACTCCCTTGTCTTTGGGAGGGCATGGGACTCCAGCCAGGGTCTGCACAGCTCCTGCTTAGGTGGTGGGGGGCCTGGTCAGAGCTGGCTGCCATGGTCCTGCTATCCACCCAGGGCTGTGGGTGTTGCTGAGGGCAGATGCAGAGGGGGCCAGCCTGGGCTGGGCTGCAGGGGTCAGGCCCTTCCCAGCAGGCTGCAGCTCGGTTTGAGGTTGTGTGGGCTGTGTGGCCAGATTGCTCCCTGCACCTGGGCCAGGCAGGGCTGTCATGGAACTGCAGCTAGCTGGGAAGGGCCCAGCGGCTGCGGGTCCGGGAGGGCCCCAGCGGCTGCGGCTCTGTAACAGCCTGGTCTGGCAGCATTCGCTGGGTAGCGGGTTGCCCGGGCTGGCTTGGACCCTGAGCCTGGCAGCTGCAGCCACATCACAAGCTGCAGGCTGTGCAGGGCTGGGCAGGCTATTTTGTCCCCCTTGCCTTCAGCTGCTGCTGCTGTGGCTTCTGCAGCTGCCACCCCTGATGCACTGCACCACTCTGGGTGGGTGGGCAGGAAGTTTCAGCCCCACGGCTTATGCCCAGCACATGGGGCTCTGGCTCCAGCTCCCAGACGCCTTCCGCCTGCTTCACCCGCAAGGGCTGTTCATCGTGCTGGACGGGTAGAATGGGTGGAACGCAGCCAGAGCTGGATCAAGAGCTCCATGTGCTGGGCAGAAGCTGCAGAACTGAAGCTACCCCACCCTGCGTGGCGCTGCGCAGGGCGGCAGAAGCAGGAGCTGCAGCTGGAGGTGAGGGAAGCAGAACAGCCCTGCCGGGCCAATCCAGCTTCCCCTTGTCTCCAGTGGCTCCAGTTCCCAGTCGCCTCCCACTCACTCTGCTGCCTGGCATAATGAGCAGTCCCAGCAGGCAGGCGGAGCATGTGGAAGGCAGCCGAAGCTCCATGAGC